AACAGATCTATCCCATGTTAACCGTTCATTTTTCCGGGATGAAAAGTAACCTGTTGTTTGACCGGCAATATAAGGTATCAGCATGCCGAAATTTTACTAAATTAGGTGCATAAGTTGTTGTGTACTAAGCTGTATAAGTTACTATAGTTTTTTAAATATCCCACGGGAACTCTTTAATTTTCCGGAATGAAAAGTATCTTACATGTTGACCTGATATAAGGTATCACCATGCAAAATGTCGGAGATTAGCCCGTACAAACAGACAAACAGACAGAGAAACAAAAAAATCGAAAAAAAAAACTGGATTTGTTCTATTTTTCTTCTTACGGGATGTTAGAAGAAAACTGACTCGGTTTTTAGCATTTTTTCTATGTACAGACATTCGACCTCTACAGTTTTATTATATTTATAGATAGAATAAATAACGTATAATAAAACAGTAACATATAATAATGATAAAAACTTTTTAACAAAAAAATAAAAACCGACTTCAAACAAAAGCACTAAAAAGTAAAAAATAACTGATTGGTAGTTTTCATTTACTATACATACCTAATCAAATATTTTCGAAGTCGGTGTGCTTTGCTTTGTATGGGCTGGCACCGATTTAGAAAATATTTTAATAGGTAGGCTTTAATTACTTAGCCAACGCACACCGACTTTGAAAATATTTGATTAGGTATGTATAGTAAATGAAAACTACCAATCAGTTATTTTTTACTTTTCAACCGACTTCAAAAAGGAGGAGGTTCTCAATTCGACTGTATGTTTTTTTTTTTTTTTATGTTTGTTACCTCAGAACTCCGTCATTTATTAACCGATTTGGACAATTTTTGTTTTGTTTGAAAGGGTAGACTTCCAGATTGGTCCCATTTAAATTTCAAAAAAAAAATACCACCCCTAAGGGTGGAAAAACAACTAATAATGAATTTAACCTACTTCTAATTGTCATATTGACTTGAAACTTTGCAAGTATTTCTATTTTCGTTGATAGTAGTGGTTCGGTGTTGTTGACCTGATCTGATGGCAAGGCCAGAAGGTGGATAGGTGGAACTCTTCAACGGCTAATAGTAGATACTTTGAGTTTGGGCTTATTTTGTTTGATTTGACAAGCCTAACACGTTAGAATCCTTACTTTGCTACTACTGTCTACACTAAAAAGGGAAAAATAAAAACTTTTTAACAAAAAAATAAAAACCGACTTCAAACAAAAGCACTAAAAAGTGAAAAATAACTGATTGGTAGTTTTCATTTACTATACATACCTAATCAAATATTTTCGAAGTCGGTGTGCTTTGGCTAAGTAATTAAAGCCTACCTATTAAATACATACCTAATCAAATATTTTCGAAATCGGTGCCAGCCCATACAAAGCAAAGCATACCGACTTCGAAAATATTTGATTAGGTATGTATAGTAAATGAAAACTACCAATCAGTTATTTTTCACTTTTTAGTGCTTTTGTTTGAAGTCGGTTTTTATTTTTTTGTTAAAAAGTTTTTATTAGTGCTTTTGTTTGAAGTCGGTTTTTATTTTTTTGTTAAAAAGTTTTTATTTTTCTCTTTTTAGTGTAGACAGTAGTAGCAAAGTAAGAATTCTAACGTGTTAGGCTTGTCAAATCAAACAAAATAAGCCCAAACTCAAAGTATCTACTATTAGCCGTTGAAGAGTTCCACCTATCCACCTTCTGGCCTTACCATCAGATCAGGTCAACAATATCGAACCACTGTACTATCAACGGAAATAGAAACACTTGCAAAGTTTCAAGTCAATATGACAATTAGAAGTAGGTTAAATTCATCATTAGCTATTTTTCCACCCTTAAGGGTGGTATTTTTTTTTTAAATTTAAATGGGACCAATCTGGAAGTATACACTTTCAAACAACATAAAAATTGTTCAAATCGGTCAATAAATGACGGAGTTCTGAGGTAACAAACATAAAAAAAAAAAAAAAAATACAGTCGAATTGAGAACCTCCTCCTTTTTGAAGTCGGTTGAAAATAGTTATAGCGAGTGTACCTTAGGAGATAGATATATACTATTGAGAACTTTTCTATCGACCTTTTTAAGACTTACAATTTTCCTGTACAATGTTTTGATCTATCTCTTAAGGTTGAGCCAGCGTTAGCCACATAAATTTCGAAGGACAAATCGATAGAACCAGTTATTGTGTTTTCCCTTGGGAATGAATAATTTGCCTGTCGTAAAAGGTATTCTAAATGTTGACCCGAGTACTAAGTTATCACTATACAAAATTCAGTTAAAATCGGTTCAGTATTTTTTGCGTGAAACGCGCACATCGATTTGACTAAGTTAGTTTTATTATAGGTATAGATAAGAATAGATATTGCTTAGGAGATATACATATACTATTCAGGACTTTCCTGTAGGACTTTTAAAGACATACAATTTTTTAGTACATCGTTTTGATGTATGTAAGTCTTAAGGGTTAGGCAGCGGAAGGTTTCTAGGGAGGACTCGATAAAACCAATTATTGTATCTTCCCGTGAGAAGGAAAGATTTTTTTGAAGTAAATGGTATCCTAAACGTTGACTCGAGTAATAAGTTATCACTTCACCAAATTTCGTTGAAATCGGTTTATTACTTTTCGCGTGAAACGCGCATACAAAAACAGACATACAGGCAAACAGACAAACTGATTTTTTTTAATAACTATTGTTTTGGGATCTATGTTGTGTACATAATACGTTACAAATAAACGAAAACATCTATCCCACGGGAACCGTACATTTTTCCGGAATAATAAGTAACCTATTTGTTATTCTGATGTATGACCTATATTATTGTAAAGTTTCATTAAAATCCAATCAGTAGTTTTTGTGTACTAAGCTGTATAAGTTACTATAGTTTTTTGACTGTCCCACGGGAACCCTTTAATTTTCCGGGATGAAAAGTAGCCGATTTGTTATTGTCATGTATGAACTATATTATTGTAAAGTTTTATTAAAATCCAATCAGTAGTTTTTGTGTACTAAGCTGTATAAGTTATTATAGTTTTTTAACTATCCCATGGGAACTATTTAATTTTCCGGATAAAAAGTATGTAAGATGTTGCCGGGGGATATAAGGTACCACTATGCAAAATTTCATTTAAATCGGTCTAATAGAGATTAGCCCGTACAAGCAGACAAACAGACAGAAAAACAAAAAAATTGAAAAAAATGTGGATTTGTTCTATTTGTCTTCTTACATCCCCCTGACTCGATTTTTATTTTTTGCTATGTACAGACATTCGATCACTACTGTTTTATTATAGTATAGATTATACACAAATATGTACAGAGAGTCCTACTTATATTTTTATTTTTCCAAATTTAATTATTAACTATTGTAGCATTTTATTATTTCAAGTCATTTTATATTTTTCTACCTATCAAATTTCAATTACAGTATCAACAAATTAAAATGGTTATGTCATAGGGGCAGACGGATAAGTAATCGCGAAATTATAAGGATTCTGTTTATGTATTTTCGGACATGGAACCCTAAAAATAGAAACTGATATTTATTTATGTATAGATTACTCTTAAGACTATTTTTTGCAATAAGTGTTTGAATCCTATGGAAATCCTAGGGAAACAAATGAAAATATAAGAAAACATGAATATTTGAAGTTGTACATCTAAAATATAGTTAGAAATGAGAAAAATGTAAAATTTTTACATATTTAAAAAAGTTACTTTGCTTTTTATATGAGTAACTAGCAATTCACCCTCGCTTTGCTTGGATTCATCCCTAGTTTGCTTCCCAATACAAACTTTCATCCCTAGTATCACTCTCTTAAGGGATGATTTCCGAGATAAAAAGTATCATTTGTTCTTCTTACCAAATTTCATCTAAATCGGTTTAGTAGATCCAGAGATTACCCCCTACGATGTTACAAGCTCACATACTCACAAACTTTACCTCTTTATAATATTAGTATAGATGTCACTAATTGATTTATGGAATATTTTACAACAACATTATTTTAAATAAAAATGCAACTATAAATGTACTTTATGAAATAGACTTTAATCCAAATCTTAATAATCTATTTTTATAAATATAAACATATTCAATGTCTAACTAGTCATTTTAAGTCTGGAATGAAGGAAGCTATCATTGGCCTCGGAAAAGCAGTTCTTTTATTTGAGTAAACATATAAAACTTCGTTTCATAAACCACATGAGGTTGGTTTAAATATTTTATATCAAAGTGAAATTGAACAACCCAATTAACATGTAATATTTAAAAGTGATTAATGAAATTTCTAAAATATGATATAATTTATTTCATAAATAATAAATCTAAGTTTATCTCAATTCTTCTTTTAAGGGGTATGTATGAGAAATATATACTACCATAAAATTTTAATTTATTCATTAACTTTTACATTTATGTATTAAAACATAACATATTTTTGTATGTAACAAGAAAACTACCAGTATATAAGTGTATAATCTATGCAAGAAAACAATGATAACATTGTTTTAATAATTGCATTAGTATTACCATAAAATTATAATAATAATATATTTAAATTAGGTTAAGGTAAAAGATAAAACTCATCTAAAGTAGTCTTCCGACTTAATATTGTACTTTATCCGAGTTGGTATTGAATTGATTTTAACTGAATGTGTTCTAAATTCATGTTATGATAATCAAATATATATGTGAAGATATTCAGTTACTTTTACAAAGAACGTACAATAAGAAACAAGGTAAATTAAAATATTTCAAATTAATGTCTAAGTGAGTCCATATTTTATAAAAAAACTAGATTTTTTTAATGGATCCCATTAGTACGAAATAGATGGAAAAATAGTACTTAGTAAGATTTACTTATGAAATAAGAGGAAATGTAAGATCTTATAGGACATTTGACACTTAAACGAATAACAACAATATGACAACATAACCTCAAAGTTAACTGTTGAAATTCTCGCCGATTTAGCACTGCTATATTATAAGATGAATAAATGAAATATTTCCTACCTGGTATGGTGTTTCTTCATCGTGATCCTCAAGACGTTTTAAATTGACACTAAACAAACAATTTTCTACCGAATTCCAAACGTATAAAACATCATCTTTTAGTTCAAATAAATTTTGCAACTTCGTATCACTATTTTCTTTCAAAATCTCTTTAATGTCCTTAAATATTTTATGGTTTGTTAATTTTGTTTCAAATAAGCGGCTATCCATTGTAAAAAGGAAAATTTTGATATTGTTTTGATATTTATCTGAACCTTTTTGACACTTGACAGTTGTCAGAATGTTCAAATCGCGCTTAAATGCGTTCCGTTACTCATGCAAAAGCTTTCGAAACTAGAAAATATTCTAAATAATTATATGTATATAGGTAAATGAATCAAAAAATCTTAGTGATTTAATTTATGAACTTGTTTATAATATTTTATTTATTAAATCAATGACAAAAATTATGAAAGAAGGTATTTTAATTATTGTATTTAAGATTTTTTTTTAATTTAATATAATTTACATAAATAATATTTTTCTTGTCTATTGTAACGATTATTTTGATTTATCTGTTTACCTTAACTAAAACAAACTTACAAAAATATCAATAATTATTATTATTGATAGATGCTTCGTATTATTATATAAAAACCTGTAAATTATATAATTTTCTTATTTTTTTTTATTTGTCATCAATATTACTATTTACAAAAATATTAGATTTAAATATTATGTGATATATTTTATTACCCGATTGCGACGGCGTTTAATAGATAATAACAAAATGTAATCCTTCGTTTTTGTTATTTCATATTTTACATATTATTATAACCGCTAATTTCCTTTATGAATTAAGTAGGTACATATTACGTGATTAAACATTAGGCATGGGTAGTTTTCATCAAAATATTATTTTTTGCAAAAAAATTACCAATTTTTAAAACGCAGTATGGTATGCATACCAAATGAAAATATCGTTTGGAGCATTTTTGGACAATTTCCGATACAATAATTATTTTCGAAATTTATTTGTATAGTAATTAATTAAAAATAATAAATAACTTTATGCTCATCACAAAAAATAATAAACAACTAAAAAGGTTGAATTTCGTATAGGTACTTCCAAGCAACAGCGGCGTAAAACAATAAAAAACCTATATCTGATATTCAACAAGCAATCGTCTAAGTAGGCCCGAATGAAAATATAACACATAGAGGTGGAAACGTATTTCACTCAGATTCCAAATGGTTTCACGTAATTTCATCTCCCTTCTGCTTTCTTATAAATAAAGTAAGATATAGGCAGCAATAAATTTCCTTTTCAGAGATTTGTGTGTGCGTTGTATAATTTAAATTCCTTGTTTTAAAGGCTCTGAATGGATGAAGTTACAATTTTTGGGTAATTAGATTATTATTTTATACTGTCAAGCATCTAGTAATGGGTTCCACATATACTTACCTATAGTAATAGTTCTCTTTGGATGGTGGTATGTGAGAAGTGTACAAAAGTAAACAAATCAAGTATAGGTAGATATTGTAGAAGATAGATATTGTGATTAAAATGAAATGCTTTCCTGAATAGAATCAAAAGAAAAAAGTGGGAGTTTCAGAACCAACTTTAAACGATTACCTACTAATTAATTTATTATCTGTGGATACATTGATCTATACTTATTTATACAAACAGTACCTTAAATTTAATCGTTTTTATGGCTACATTTATAAATATGATTTAACTGAATTAAAAATATCTTCAGAGTAACTACATAGTGACTTTAGGTATATGCACAAGTTAGTTGATAAACATATCGATCAAGAATTTGGTCACCGCTAATAATCTTTATAATTATTATCTTATCATAAATGGAGAATGTACAAATACATACATACAAAATTGTTTTACCAAAAGAAATGTGATAAAGGCTAATTTTTATCTAATTTCCATTAAAAAAAAAACAACCGCTAATGTAGCTGTGTCTATAAATGAAATAAATATTGTTTGTTGGCATCATAAATAAGGCTCGAGACAGACGAAGGGACACACGTCACCTTTTGATACATTTCCGCTGTCGTTATTAATGACAAGTCATCGGTGCCGTCCCGGCGGCCTGGCTCGAGGGCTGCCACTATATGTATCTTACTATTTTCAAATTTAATAAAAACTAAACATTATTTCTTGATATTAAGTTTTTAATCAAAAATAAATATCTATTAAAATTATAAAGTAACAAACTACTTAATTATAAAAAAACACTTTCTTATTGATATTTCATTTTATACCTTACGAAATAATTATTTTATGAAAATTTAATTAAAAAATTAACGTTTTTGGTATTAGTATTATAATGACCACTCCCTATTCTTAATTTTGTAGTCACATTTCTAATTAATAATTGTAAATTTTTGAATAACTATTTTCTAGATATATAACTAATTTATATTACCTGTGCTAAATAAAAATAACAGCAAAATATTTTCAAACTTTGAATAGCTTTTTTTTAATGTATATTAATAATTCGTAGGAATAATTGATACAGCCCTTGGCATATCATACGTCGCGACCTGCCCGGCATAATAATAGATCGGGGCGGGTGTACCTCCCCGTAATACCATGTGAGAGAAGCGCTGGTAAATTTATCAATAGCATTATATCGCGAAAACTGAGCACTCGCCTCGCCTTATATTTTATTCAACGTACGATGTTTTGACATCTATCTCGACGCGTTTTGTTATTTGCAGAAAAATCGCTTAGAGACCTCTTGACAACAAGTTCGATGTGTGGATGAAGTTGGTGAATTCTTAATGTTAATTATATATTTGGTTTTTTTTTTATGACATTTTGAGGAAGATTTTGAGGAGGGTAGGTTTTCAATAAATTTGCGCGTTATTTACGCCTCCCATGAAAATCGAGTTCAATTGTACTAATGTTTAAATCTTCAAGTCATAGAAATTGTACTGTAACGATGCACTTTGTAAATAAAAAAATGTATTTGACTTTAAAACAAGTAGATTACGAGCCTGAAATTACTTAAGTAATTATAAATATGTATATTAAAATCTATCGCACCTGTCTTATAAATAAAAAAAAAACTATTGATCTGTATGACCTGTATCGTATTTGAATTTAACATGTAACTTTGTTATAGCTATAAAATAGTGTTGCCAAATGTTTATTGCCTATTCATTATTCCCTAGCAGGAAACAAGACAACAATCACACAACTAACACTGACATTCAATTATAAGAACTTATTACATACATAATTAATATATAAAAAAACATTAACAAAAATAGGGTAAGCATACATACGAGTATATCTGTCACATAAGAAATAGTATACAATTTACACAATATCGCTATACGTCAACGTGTCAGAGGTCCTCTCGAGGCATCTACCCCAATTACTCGTAGAATTGTTTCACGGTATCCTATCTATTACTTTCCTCTGGCTTGGGAATTTGGGACCGGTCGGGTAAAAAATACTTAGTTTTTGTCTCTTAGGGTCTGATTAAGATGATTGATTCAACAAGATATCGAGAGTACGTGTGAAGTATTAATTTTGTTATACTGTTGACGGTTTTTATTTGTAATGATAAGTTGGGGAAAATATTTCTATTGTTCTTGTAACAATCACAAATATTTTTTTATATTATATTTTTATAATAAGGTCTTTAGTATTCAATTTGGGCATTTATTTTAAAAACTTTTGAAATAAAATACAAATGTCAATCAGATGAACAGTCTTCTTATTGACCAGATATTAAAAAAATAATCATTTGGTTCAATTCAAGAAAAAAAAGAAACTATAAATCAAAATATACTACTTTATTGCACATTATATCTACTATTAAGGTAAATTTACTATAACCCTTACAAAACAAAACCAATACAGTCCGCCTATAAATCCCCAAGAACGTCCGAAACACTTGAAGTGTGTCTTAACCGCACTACCGTGTGGTACACACATATGTTAGCCAAGAAAGGGTTAAGCAAGTACCTGGGGGTGCGGGGTGGATTTACACCCCTCATTTGTTTGCGATGACCCCCGAGCACTATCTTCTGAACAGTACCTCGGTATCAACCTTGTTAAGCCTTAGCTTACATGACGCTTATTGTTTTTAATTTAACTACCTTACTAAAATTAACTTACGAACTAAAATTAACTTACGAATAAAATGGCAAAAATGGTATAATTGGAATAAATATGTTATATAAAATTACAAAAATTTTGTAATATCACGTAAGGTATTTTTAATAGAAACAATTGTTTCGGCAAGTTTGATTCTTGTTCTGTATAATATGTCTATATTGTTAGACTTATTATTATCGTCATCTAATTGTTATTTAAAATATATTGTGAATGTTTTTTTTTTTGTATGTTGGTTCATGTAGCCATATCCTAAGCAAGAACGCGTCAACGTGAAGGCATTGTATGACCGTTTTAATATAAAACGCGTTCGCGATTCATGCGATATTAGCGTTGGTGTTCCATTACCGGTGCACTTACCTCATCGCATCGCTAGGATTGGACGCTTAAGTAATGCGATGGCTCTCAGAACAAGTTTGCATAATAGGATTTGTCTTGTAGTTTCAAAGATTTTGTAATGGCTGTTGAAGTTTTTATAACTATAGTTTATAAATTGTATAGTTAACTTCATTAGTGAATTGAAAATCATGTTTCTATTTTAAGTAGCTTCTCCTATTTTTCCATTTTCCTCAGGGAAAATGTAAAAAAGAAACAGAAAAGACTCGGAGTGTACTGTAAGACTAGAGATAGAAAATGTTCTATCTGTTTCTTTAACGGACAGTGCGTTTTGGGCTACCAGCCAAAATTAAAAACCAATGGTTTGATCCACTAGGGACGAAGTTTCATAGATGCTCTATAGGCAGTATAATATTTTATTTAAGAGGAAAATATGATGTAACTAAGCATATGGTTAAATACGCATATAAATAATATAACATATAAAACATATAATAATATTACAATGTGTAGTATAAATTGGTCATACGTTTATCTCTCTTAGTCGTAATAACCGAACAAATATATATATATTTTAAAGGAAATAATAAAAAAAACAAACTTCGAATTGGAGATAATTCACACAGTGTGCAAAGGCGTGAGAAACGTATAATATGGCTTTGTTAAAGACAATACGAGCATTTATCGCGAATAGAAATATATACCTATAGTACAGGATCGAAGCTATTCTATTTCCATTATG